TTTTGCTGAACCGGGGATTGAACTCAGGCCCTTGCACTTGCCAGGGAAGTGCTTATTCTACTGAGCCATCTCCCCGGCCTCAAAGAGCACTAATTTTAAACATTAGTTATTATACTTTTTAAAACCTTGATGGAAAGCAGTTTTTCTCCCCTCTTCACCTATATACCTATGTTTAACCAAAAAAGTGAATGGCATCTATTTAAAAATGTAAGCCTTTCCAAAAGTAATCAGATTTACATTTATCCTTACAAATTCTGTGGTAGGTGGAACATTTGCAAATTTATGTAATTTTCATAGAGGTTTCTGACTGCTATAAAAAGTGATATTAATTCTTATTACACTTTCTAGAGTCTTTAAATTTTTAATGGTCCATGTGTGCAGCAAATACTGGTGCAATTCATGCAGTGCATCGGTGCGACTTAATTCTTTTTTTACTCCCTTCCACTCCCCTCCCCTCCCTTCTAGACTCTTTAAAGGACTTCATAGGAAATATTTGTACCTTAAGATAGGCCCTTAAGATAAAAGTTAATAACATATTAACTTTTTATATATTTTGGGTTTTTAGTATCTATTTTGTTTTTTTAACGTATGTTAAAAAGGCATTAAAAATAGAATGTGCTTATTGTCAGACATTTCATTTGCATGTGAAAATAGTATAATCTTCTCTTTGGGTTCACCAAACTAATTTACAAATGAGAAGGAAAAGTAGATGGACTCATTTAAGAAGGAAACCTCCACTTTCATCAGATACCTATCCTGTGGAGGTGGTTTTTTAGTCATTTATCTTTTTTTTAAAATTGAAACAATATAGTAACTCAAATGCTGTATGTTACATTATCCCTTTGCTGCAAACAGTAGTCTTTGTTATTTCAGCCCGTACCCTCACTTCTGGTTTGAAATGATGGAGAAATGACTAGAAAATTGTTTAAGTTGTTAATTACTTGTTTACCAAAAGGAGCAAGCAAAACCCTATGGAAAGAAAAGCTGTCAGCATTTATTCGGAGCTCTTTTTTTTGCAGAATTACAATGTGGTGTTAAGAATCAAGAATAAATGTTTTTATGGCAAAGCCAATACCCTGCACATGTCAGCCTTGTATGTGTATCATTATCTGCCCTCGTGAGGGGCAGGTGTTGGGCGTGACAGAGCCTGTCCTGTGTCTGTCTCCTAGGTGATGCCTACCACTCACTGACTTGTTGTGTGTCCCATCCCTTTTCTGTCCACTTATAGATGTACTCCAACACAGTCGCTTTCAGTGACGAGTTCATCGCACTGCAGCCTTTGTCCAGGGCAAGGGATCACCTGAGCAGACTTAGGTAGCGTAGGAGTAGACTCACTCCACTTCTGCATGCTGCGTCGGTGACTCCAGATGGGCAGAGGCATGCGCAGCACGCGGGCGCTTTGGTCAGCACAGCTCTGTCTCTGACTGATTTGACCTTTATTGATATGTGTGTTAACACCTTTAAAAAAATCCATTTCTTCTTTGAGAAGAAAATTCAGATGAACATTCAGCATAACAGGACAGATCTGTACCTTCTTATATATTTTTATACCTTAACTTTATTCTAGCATTCTAATGCTTCTGCTTGTCATACTTATATTTAAGGCTGCTACTGCATGTTGACTATTGAAAGCTGCAGAAAATCCTTATAGCATTTAAACTATTAAGTTGTACTTGGAAGTGAGAGTTGTTCATTTTTTGTCTTGCCTTAAACCTGTGTTGCAAATACTTGTGTGTGTTTGTGTCCACACTGCACTGGTTACTGAACATTTCATGTCCCTGCTCCTATAGTGCGCTTATAAATTGAATAATACGTTCTACATGTCTTGTACCTGTATCTCCTCAGATACAGCAATGCCTTCAGTTTCCATAAAAAATAACCAGTAGTCTAGAGATATCTTATGAGAGATGGGAGTGAAAACTTAAATCCTAAGGGCTGGCCAAATAGCTCACCGAGTTAAAGCACCTGCTCAGGCAGACACAGCAGCTGGGTTTTGATCCCTAGCGTGCTGTGCCAGCCCCACCCCCGGGGCACGCTGAGACGGCAGTGGAGACTGGGTGTGGTGGCAATGGAGACTGGGTGTGGTGGTGCGCACCTGTAATTGTAGCTCTTGGGACGCTGTAAGCAGGTGGATCACTATTAGTCTGATCTAGTAGTGAGACCTTGAACACCCTGTAGACCCTTCCCTAAGTTACAAAAAAAGAAAATTAGCACTTTTTAATTTCTTACCTTGTTGGTGTTTTACAGACCCTTAAATCATCTATATATATTTTTAATTTAGTTGTATGTTTATTAACAGAAACTTATTCTGTAGTCCAGGCTGGCCTTGAGCTCACTAGGTAGCCCAGGCTGCCTCAAATTCACAGTGATCCCCCTCCCTCAGTCTCCCCAGTGCTGGGGATTACAGGCATGCACCACCATAACCAGCTTTTTAAATTCTTTTGTACTCTAAGGTTTCTGTCTGCATTCACTTGATTGAATGGCTTTGACAAGGCACCACTTAACCTTTCACATAATTCCATGAGTTTCTAATTTTGAGCCATTTTTAAACTTTTACCAAACCTCTAGGATCTTTTTTTATTTTTTAAAATTCTACTTTGAATTGCTAAGATATATAATTAAAGATGAATATATATATATATATATATATATAGCAGTGTTGAAGTAATAAACTAAATTTCATGTTTAAAGGCAATGCTAAAATCAAAACAAATAGGATTTGCTTTCCCTTCTGGATGAGCCAAGTGTCTACACCCCAGTTGTACCTGTGGGTGATTTTCTGAAAACAGCAGCTATCTCTCACATTATTGAACATTTCTTTTACTCTAAGCAGTAAAAGTGCTCATGAGTTAAAAGAACACTGTAGTCAATCCTTTTGTCAAGTGAGAATAACATTTTGCATCCTGAGTAATATTATAATGAAATTGTGTTTTCACATAATGTCTTAAATCAAGCCACTCTTTGATACTCAGCCTAAAAAGAATATCAGACCTAGAAAGAATGAGGAAAAGAGATCACAAATCAGAGCGATTCCAAGCTCTGTAATGCTGTAGCAGACCAGGAGGTGTAACACGCATCAGTGGGAGACCACAGTGAAGCAGGGTATGTTGGCCAGATCCCCTTCCTGTGCCACTGCCAGTCAGTGGCACAACACAGGATGAGAGTCAGAGGCTGGCCCTGTGCCCAGGCCACACTTGGCGCCACCGCAGTGACCTAAACAGACATGGTCCCTAGTGCATTCCCCTTCTGGGCCTCCAGTTTCCACAATTACGTGATCATTTTACATATATGCCACAGTCTCTTCACTTAGTCAACAGCAAAGAAAAACAAAAAGAAGAAATACTTTGCCTGACCGAAGGCCACACAGAAATGACAGCTGCTCACCTGAATGGTGAGCGGCTGTTTGTGCACTGCTGTGGGTGTGTCCTGTGAGCTGGGAAGGCATCATTTCCTAAATTGTGATCAGCAGAACCCCATGGATGTATCTATGGTTGCTTATTAACAAGAAGCCAGGTTATATAGATACCAGGCATCTTTAAGAGTGTTCTGATCTTTAATTAGGTTGTTACTTTCAAAGAAGCTTTTGTTTGATAAAGCTCATTCTTTGAGTATTTTCCTTTTATTATAGGTAAATGTCATATAAACTTAATAGTACTTGTAAACCAGGGACTTCTGCTTTTTTATTTTTTCGCAGTAGAACTAGTTTTGGTTAGACCTAAAATAGGAAAAGCAGATGAGGCAAAATCTGTTTTCATTGTGTGGACATTGTCTCATAACTGAAAAAAGGTTAAAAATAAGGATGGCTATAGCACATGTTTGGATTAAGCCTGGGTCTCTAGCTCTAATATTAAAAAGAAAAAAGCAAGATCAGTCTAAGTTACCGACCTTCACTAAAATATATCGCAAATTGGGACCAGCAAGATAGCTCAGCAGACTAAAAGGCCTGCTTAGGTTAAGTGCAGGGACCTTGGTTCTAGCACACCAGCCCTGCCTCCAGGGCGTAGCGGCATCCACCTGTAATCCAAGCGCTGGGGAGGCTGAAAGCAGGATGGTCACTTGAGTGTGAGCTGCATAGTGAAACCCTGTAACAACCAAATACATTTTAAAAAAATTATATATATATATATGGTAAGTTAATTTGTTAACAGCTAATTCAAGCCCCCTTTTGTGCTTCCTCTTTTTTTGTGGAACTGGGATTTTGAACTCAGCCCCTTGTGCTTGCCAGGCAAGCGCTTATTCTACCGAGCCATTTCCCCCGCCCCCCTTTTTGTGTTTCTGACACTGTACTTTGCTGAAATCCAGCTGGCTACTACAGAGGCAGAAGGATGAGAGGCAAGGAATTGGGCATTTTGCAGTAAGAAGTCTAAATCTTAGTAGCTGTGAATTTCATAGAGGAAATTGAATTTTATTAACAGAAATTTGGTTTCAACCTGGCTGTATGTTTAGTGAGAGCTCTGCACTGAGAACTCATGGCTTTGTGTGCTTTGTCATGTCCCATTCAGAAGCTCCTTTAGTCCTGTCACAGTGCACATGCCACTGTGAGCATTCATTTGTGCATCGCAGTTTGTGGACCCAACTCATTGCTTTGATTCTAACCCTAGGTACTATATGATCTTTCTGTAATATGAGATTTGTTGCTTTTCTGTTCTTCTAGATGGAAGAAGATAAGGGTTCAGTCAGCTCAGCATGTGAATTTGCTGAAAGCCAGCACAGAGGGGAGGACAGTAGGCACCTGCTAGCTGAGGCTTGCAGCCAGCAGGACAGTTGATGCGTGCACTAGGTAGTACTGCGCCGGGCTTGCCAAGAACTCACCTGCCGCCTCCTGCTGGAGAATGCCAGGACAACTGGCCCAACCTGTCCACCGCCATCCACCTCACTGTTGCCTGTTCTGTGTCTCAGACGCTGTTTTGGTTTAGTTCTGTTCCATTGTGATCTTCACATTTTCATATTGTCTATCCCTGAAAAGCTTATTAATTTTCCTTTCAGAGTAATCTTTTTTGTTGTTGTTTTGTTTTGTTTTGTTTTGGTGAACCAGGGATTGAATCCAGGCCCTTGCCAGGCAAGTGCTTATTCTACTGAGCCATCTTCCCAGCCCTATATTTTTTACCTCATATTCTAACCTAGTAAGGTATTCTCACAACCTGTTATCTTACATGTAAGAAGTAACTCCCTTTGAAAATATACTGCATCTGTTATTTCTAAAATCACTTTCCCCTTGAAAGTTATGTATCTTAATGGGGTAGATACTGACTTGTTTATCTAAGCCTCCCCTAGGGCTGAGTGCTTGGATGAGTGCTTGGACTTAGTGTTGTTCTGCTGGCTGATAGTTAACACACTCAGTTCTTTTAATAATTTCTTAGTTTTGTCTTAATAAAAATGAAATGATAAGGGCTTCATTTATTCCCATTTTGTGGAATAAACTGTAACCCTAAACCATACTAGGATATACAGAATATTTTGACTGGTAATAATTATGAAGCATAAAAAATCCTACCACTCATGGTTGGATTTGTGTAGGAATGACAAGGAATTTCCTCCCTTGCCAGCCACCGTTTACTCTCTCCATTAAATTGGGGGGAGTTAGTCTTTTACAGAGACTGATACTCCTAGCGAGATATCACATAACCAGTTGAATAAGTATGTCAGTAAAGTAAAGGGTCATCCTGCTCTCTAACTAGAAATAAGCCAAGTGATCAAAGCAGACTTACCTGATACAATGTTTATGTTTATTTTCATAGTTGAATTTAGGCGGCACATGCAAAAATCGCCTCCTCTCTACAAAGCCCAAAAAGAAAGATACTTCTATTTGTACCTGTCTTTCCTAGTTTCCACATTTCAGTCAGTGGTTGTTGTCTTAGGAGAGGAAGGAGGAAGGGGCAGGAGAGAGGTGCTCTGGAGGAAAGGCCCTCGGCAGACCCCACACACCCTCCATACCAGCCATCTGCAATGTGGTAGAGTGACCACTGACTTGCTGTGTGTGGGAAGCATTCTCAGCCATAGTCCCAAGTTGGTGTAGTACTTGATGACTTGATTTCACATTGAAAAGCATTTTGGTAAACCCAAACCTATTTTCTTGTTTGATTTTTTTTTTTTTTTTAATTAGAATGTAAGACTTTGGTTAAGACCAGACAAAGGGAAGATGTTTACACTGATCATCCAGTGTAAAAAACAATTTTAAGGAAAAAACATACTCATGCAGTTAATACTTACCTAATGCTAAGAAAATTTTATATGATGTCTTAGGAGTGACATAGGTTATAAAATGTAAGATAATTGTCTAACATTTGCAAAGTTTAAGGAAGATGCTTGGTAAG